GTAGGGATTTTTGGGGGAAGAATTGATTTTGAATAGTGATATGATGGGAAATGTCTGGTTGAAAAAGAAGAAAAAATTATTGATGTGATGGAAAATATTATTTTATTGAAGAATGTGTGGTTGAAAATGAGAACTGATTTACTGTAAAATTTTGAGAATCCCTCCCAAACAGGGCCTATAATGGCTGGAGGTCCAAAACGCTTGCCTTTTACGGTTCCTCCACTTGTTTTTTCTGCACTCAAGGTGTGTTACGTTTCACAATTGGAAATGCATGTATTGTTTCGTGATTTTAGATCATAAATATTCTGGATTTAAATGAGAGTAGTTGCATTTAATGAATTTAGTATCGTTCAGTATTTCACTTTTACTTGGCCCTCCTATATGTTTGTGACTAGTTGATAATTAGGACATTTTCGTACTCTTGCAGTCTTTTGGTGTATGCATAATAGCATCTGTATACATTGATTAAAAGATCGTTTCTGATCTACATACAAAAATTTTGTTATACCATTCAAAATAAAACACAACGTTGCATTTAAATGGTCTGTTAGATCCAAAAAGTGAAGAGACCTTTCTATTTTTTTTTTTCTTTGTTCTATTTGTTATATAGCACGTGTTTTGATGAAATTGGCTTTCATTTGCAAGGGCAAACACCCAAGCATGAGCTTCATTCAAATTGGTGCTCACATGCTGGGCATATTGGTATAATGCATGAGCATGTTTAGCCAAGGTTGTTAATATTGAGATCCATATCGTAGGATCATATGGTCCTACGATCTGGAATGACCAAAACTATCCGAATCGAGTCTAGAATCGCAATCTTCTGGGATTGCTATTAAGAGCAATTCCAAATTGCTAGGATCATACGATCTTACGATACAATACGGAACGATCCTACCGATTCAGATAATAATAGTCTTCGGAATGCAATAAATTGGGTTAGGGCACTAGTCTTATTTGCTTCATCAATGGGCTACTTTGTTTTGAATAAGTAATATATTAAAGTTCAAATCCAAAAGATAGACATAAAAATAAAGAATATGAAACAATAAATTTAAAATTGCTGACTCAAATCCCAAATTAGCGATTTAGCCTTTATTGTTGAGCCTTATAAGTAGTTGAATTATTTGTTGGTTGTTTTGGGGACATAAATAATTTGGTTTTAGATATTTTTTTATATTTTATCATTATTTAGGCTTTGTTTGAAAAATAGTTTTTGTAATAGTAATTTCTTTGGGAGAATGTATGGTTCAAAAGTAATGAAAAGTTGTAAAATTATTTTATTAGGAGAATGTGTGGTTAAAAATGAAATTGGAAAAATTGAATTTTTAGAGAATGGGCTCAAACAAAGGCTTAATACGATCTTACAATCCTTAATCCGAGCCACAAGTCACCTCCACGATCCAAGTCAAAATTATGATCTTGACAACCTTGTATTTTGCTAGGCCTGAAAAGAAGTAAAGTGACGTTTAAGCAATTTTTTTATCCCAAACATGTTTGGATAATTTAATTTTAAGTTAAAAAAAGCTATTTTTTGAAAGTAACTCACCTTATTATCAAAATAAGTTAAGCTGGTAATTTTTCTTACATCTCCCCCCCTCGGAGCCCAAGTATCATATATGCCGCTTGCTTATTTTACATTCTTCAATAATTTTTTTTTTTTTTTTAAGCTTACTTTTTTTTTTACTTGTGAGTAAATGTATTTCCAAAGTAAACTTTTTAACTCATGTCACCATCACTAGCCCACCTTCTCAGGAATTTCATATTATCATATCTTGACATACATGGCCTTGTGACCTCCCTTGGGGTTTATTGTCCCCAAGCCCCCGGTTTATAGAAAAGCACTTTACATAGATGAGACACTCTTCAAACCATATTATGGTCATGTTTGGTCCACATTATTTTTTTCATTCTCATTCTTCTATTCATTTTCAACTACACATTCTTCAATAAAATAATATCTTCCATCACATCAATAAATTTTCCTTCATTTTCAACCACATATTCCTCGTCACATCAACAGTAAAAATACATTCTTACCTTCAAAATGTGCACCAAACGGAGGCTATATATCAATTACGTCCATTTCTCCCTGGGAAAAGGGAAACAACTTAGTACTAGATGTATATCTCTAAATTATAGCTTATAACCATTTAAACTCTCACCCCTAACTAAATTTGATGCACTCTTCCCCGTGATAGTTGGTGAGGAGATTGCAAGGTCAGGATGGAGATGTAGCTGGAGAAGAAGTTCCAGCCACCCCAAAGAAATTATTTCAGCTCATGAATCAGGTGATAAAGCTTAAAAATTTACAATTGCTTACCTGCAAGGTATTTGTACCCAATTTGCTTGCCAAGGAAATCATATTTTTGTATATCTAGGATACCTTGTGATCCTCTCTTTATGCTTCTCTCTCTTTCTGAAGTGTTTTTAATTTTTTTTTTTGGCTATGTAAAAATCGTGAAAAGGTGAGAGAACATCTTGTCCATGTACAACCCCTACAGGTTTTGCTTCAGTACTATATGAAAATCATCTGCCTCTGTTGGTGATGCATTACTGAAAACAAGTGGCTTTCTTCAGAGCCTTCTTGACCAAAAGTTTTCAGTCTTATTCTTTGAATGCTATTACCATTTGCTCAGACTAAGTTCTGATCGCTTATCTCCTGCATGCTATTTTGGGTGGTGAATTATTGTTGAATAACATGTCATAGCACAAGCATAATATCTTACACCAGCAACTGACATTTCCATCTAGGTGTGTCTCTTTAAGTGACTATACTTGCGGGGTGATATTTTCTGCTATCTTCTCATTTTATGCAGGAACCCCTCCTCATTGGCTCATTCCATGAATCGATGTCTTGTCATACTCTGACATCGGAAAAAAAAATCCTTTTTTATTGTTGCAGATTATCGAGGCTCTTTCAATTGTCCCATCACCTGAACTAGCATTGAGACTGTACTTGCAATGTGCTGAGGTAAAATTTATGAATAAAGCTATTCTAACAGAAGAAAATTACCCTCCTCAGTGACAGACTCTCACATGGCCGTGGGACTGACGTGGGTCCCGCATGAAATAAAAAATGAAAAAGAATACTCCCCCTTCCCCCGATGTGTGTGGTCTGTCAGGGCGGGTGTGACACCCTCCCTGTCACCATAGCTCGGTTCAAAATTTATTAACAAATTCCAGTGCTGCTGGAAAGTGGATTAGGGACACTATTTAAGAAACACTAGCAAAAGTGTAAAATAGTTTGTTGAGAAATATAATTAGGGGGTGTTTGTGTTAAGTAAATTCCCAACAGTGGCATCAGAGCCTACTTTGTATTTATTAGAAATTGTTTTGCATCATGTAACAATCAAAAGTTGATTGTTGTTGTTTTCTTGTTTCTAGCAATTTTGAAAAATTGTTTTTCATCCTAAAATATGTTTTTCGAATCTGACAAAAAAAAAAAAAATATCGAATTGGATTGGATCCTAAGGGGTTGGCGGCGGCGTCTCCGGCGGCAACACCGCCGCCGGACCCTGCAGCGTGCTGTGACGGATCGCAAGGTGATGTC